CTGGACTGGTCCTGAGTATGAGGCATGAAAGGTGGAAACTGTTGGGACTGCTGCAGCTGGAACGGCTTTATTTTTGTTGCTGCTGTATAAATTCCCAGAGACTTAATGGATGCCCCTGAATCCTTAAGGCTTGTAGCCTCTTGTCAGTCTTTTTGGAAAAGAGCAAGGGGCCTTTGAATGGGAGGTCCTGGATGGTTTGTTGAACCTTCAGGGGAAGACCTGATGACCACAGCCATGAAGAGCATAGCATAGTGATGGTGGAACCATAGCTTGAGCCAAAGAGTCCCCTGCATCTATTTTTGCCTGCAAGGTTGTTCTGGCAACTAACTTGCCCTCCTCCACCACAGCTGTGAACTCCTGCTTTACCTTGTCCGGAAGCCTGTCATTAAATTTTAAGATATTATCCCACAGACTAAAATCATACTGACCTGCTGCTTTTCAATTCTAACTACCGGCCACGTTGCCATTAGTGCAGCTCTCAGTACTACATAGCCAAGAGCTTTTTCTGGTTTAATCTACACCTGACACGTATGATGCAGCTCGTGAATTGTTTAACTTGGTACTTCAGGGATTGGTCTCAATAGGCCCATCCTAGGCTCCACAGTCAACGAACCCCCTTGGCTTGAGGACTGTCCCTGAATGCTGCTTCTTTGAGTGCACCTCTGTGTCCTTGCCTCCACTCGGTGCCTGCACTGAAGATTTTGAAGACTCCAGTACTGAGTCCTTAGGAGACTTATGTTGTCTCTTCTTCAGTACCAGCAACAACATCTGCCTCTCAACTCAGATCAGGAGGAGCACTCCTAACAGATGTGGATGTGCTTGTTATCTACTCCATACAGGAAGGCTCCGATGGTGGGGGGAGTGCAGACTCCATCAATAAATACTTTAGTATGGCTACCCTCTCTTTGACAGGGGTTTGATCCCTCCACAAATGTGACATTTGTCACTCACATGGCGCCTCCCCTAGACATTTAAGGCTGCTGGGTGTGGGTCACTCACTGGCATGGACTTGTTATATGAGTGACAGGACATGAAGCCTGGGGAACAAGGCATAAGTCCAGTACTGGTACCAAAACAGGAACTGGTAAATCCAAGCTACTAAGTACTAACCTAAACATATTCTTATATCTAAAACAATGTAAAAAAGGCTAAACTAGCCTAAAACTAACAGAACAAGTACCATTTACACTAAAGAGGACAGAACTTGTAAATGCAAGGACAGCAGCTTCAACAACAGTGAATGGCAGTAGGAAGGAACTGAGGGGAGTTGGGGACAGCTCTGCCCTTTATAGCTGCATACAGTGGTGCGAGAAAGCAGAGGGCACTCCTGCTGCTCCAATGGGCACTGCTGAGGGAACAATCTCCAACAACTGTACACAAGATGCACACACACACGCCTTCAGTGGAATGAACATGTGCAATCACTTGAAGTAATCTAATTTTTTACCATGTAATTAATGGCAGTTATCATAACAATCCACCACTATAGTTGTCAATAACCAGGTATTTGGTTAACAATCTTAGGAAAAAGAACAGGAGTACTTGTGGCACCTTAGAGACTAACAAATTTATTAGAGCATAAGCTTTCGTGGGCTACAACCCACTTCTTCGGATTCTGTCTCAAAACATTTCACAACCTGCTCAGCATTATGGCTACAAATTCTACTACTGAAGTGTTCAAATTTTTTGTGTGTTTCCCTTTCCCCTTAGAACTTGGCTGCACTGCATCACTGGAGCTGCTTCAAAATCTTTATGCAGGCAGAATAAATTATTTATAAGTGTCGATTGTTCATAGCTCAAAATAAACACTGCCTGCTACACAATGTTTTAATACGTTGTATTTGTGTACTGCTGTCTTCAATAGCAGCATGACCTCCAAAATTATAGCATGCAGAATTTTACGTATAATGGGCACCATTAACGTATTTTTACCTTTTTCCTGCAATCTAAAAGATTACTAACTCTTCCACCCTTAGCATGAATAGTTCAATTGAAATCAATGGGATTACTCATACACAACGTTAGGCATATGTTTAAGTGTTTGCAGGATCAGGGCTTAACTGATTAATTATACAGAGGAAGCAGTGGGTACTGAGTGAATACAAAGTATTATCAATTGCACAAAGTAAACAGAAAGAAGAAAGAATTCTTCACATTATTTTCAGTTACCACAGTATAAAATATTACTTTAACAACAGTAGATACACAATTTCCAGACAGATGTGATTTTTTTTTAGTTGACAGTTTCCCTTTAGTTAGCTTGTAATTCACCAATGACCAGTTTCTTGTCTCATCTCCGTAATGGCTCTCTGTGAAAGCTTCTATTTGTCTGGAGTGTTCTCAGGATAATGCATTAGCAGAGAAAGGCACCATGCCTCATTTGTGCCAAATATATAAGTGGAGCAACCATTCTAAACTCCTTTGGAGCTGGCTAAGGGCTTGTCTATACTTACCGGGGGATAGACAAGCAGCGATCGATGCATCGGCGGTCGATTTAGCGGGTCTAGTGAGGACCTGGTAAAACTAAATCAACCACAGATCGCTCTCCTGACTCCTGTACTCCACTGGATCGAGAAGAGTAGGGGGAATTGGAATGTCTCCCGTCAACATCGCGTTGCATGGAGCCCCTGGTGAGTAGATCTAAGCTACGTCAATTTGAGTTACACTACTCACATAACTCAAATTGCACAGCTTAGATCGAATTTCCCCTGTAGCGCAGACAAGGTCTGAGACAGGCAGGTTCTCCGCAAGTTTCTTTGCCTTGGTCTGCAAAACACCTGTTATAAGTCCCAAGTACAGCCTGGCAGTTATGCCAAGTGTGTAAGTGTTTTACTGTGTTTACACAATAGGAAACAAACAATTCCCCTGGTGTGTAAAGCATGCTTGGAAAAATCATCATCTATTGCATTAACAAAAACTGCACCATCCAGCCAAGTTATTATGAATTTGATGTTTTCTAGCAATAATCCAGTTTTGCTGTTACATAGCCCCACATCTCTCAATCAAGACAGCATTATTTTTCACTGTATTCTTTCTGCATCACACAGAGTTGAAGGAATCCTAGGCTGAGAAAACTGGGACTGAATAAAAGGGCAACTTCCTCTAGGATTTAAGTGCTGATAATGAGTTATAAATAACAGAGAAAGTATATAGGAATGTAAGGCATGAAATTATTCATTTGGAGAGCAAGTGAGTTTGTCTCATTTCCTTCCTACCATGTTGTATTGGATGCTCCTCCCACTCATATAATCCAGAAAAAGAATGCCTTCTTCATCTGCTATGTGCATCATTCAAGTTATTAGAAATGTTGACTACCAAAGAATAGTAAACCCAAGCTAATTTCATTTCCAGATAACACCTACCTACACAGCTAACCAGGGCTAGTGGAATCATTTTATATGTTAAACAAAAAAAAAATGGGAACATTGGGGCTTTTTGAACCATAGCCCATAGTGACTGGAAGAGAACTGGCATGATGTTGTATAAATGCATAAAGAGAAAATATAAATAAAAGTAAATGAAGACAGAGAAGAAAAATAAATGGATGATAGCAGGATACGGGAATTAATCCTAGCTTGTGCTAGTGCCACACAGGATATACACCTGAAATATGAACTTAGAAATAGGACAGATCCTTCACCATTGGACAAAGCAACAACCATAGAGCACAATATTTCACCAATTCTTGGAGTAAAAACAGGAAGGTTTTTTCCCCTCATGTAATTATTACCTGAATGAGGAAAAATGTAACATATTGTAATTAGTAACTAAGGCCCACATTCAGGAAAACATGCCTATTCAGGAAAGCACTTAAACATATGCTTAAGTCTCATTAACTTCATCCCTTAATTTCTTGAATAAGGATGATTTAATAATGTGCATAAGTGATTTCCTGAATCAGGTCCTCGGGGGTCTAATTCTGCAAACACTTACTACCAGGTGTAATGCGTACCATGTTAAAATGCAAGTTTGGACCTCAAATTGATATAATACTCTATAGCAGTGGTTCTCAAAGCCGGTCCGCCGCTTGTTCAGGGAAAGCCCCTGGCGGGCCGGGCCGGTTTGTTTACCTGCCGCATCCGCAGGTTCGACCAATCGCAGCTCCCATGGGCCGCGGCTCAGCGCTCCAGGCCAATGGGGGCTGCGGGCAGCGGCGCGGGCCGAGGGATGTGCTGGCTGCCTTTCCTGCAGCCCCCATTGGCCTGGAGCGGCGAATTGCGGCCAGTGGGAGCCGCAATCGGCCGAACCTGCGGACGCAGCAGGTGCTTTCCCTGAACAAGTGGCAGACCGGCTTTGAGAACCACTGCTCTATGTCATACTCATGTCTGATCTGGGATCTCTTTTAAAGAAGCATTTTTTTGCTTAGCTATCAAACAGTTTACATCCAAGACCATTTTTGCTTTAATTTGCTACCATTCTCCCCTGTATCTTTTATATTTGGTAGCTTATCATTCTACTTAAACATGATTAAATTGGTTAGAGAAATAATCCGACTCTTTTTCCAAGTGATTTCTCATTTAATTACAGAGCAGGTCTGTGTTGGACATTCTTCAGTGATCATCCTGGAAAAAATGTGTTAATTACAGTATTGCAATTAATTTGCTTAAACTGTACTAATGGCCTGATTTTCATAAATGTTGAGCATCCACAAATCTCACTGAAGACAATCACATTAGGCCTGAATAAAGATGGGGAGTGGTTGGCTCATTACAAAACCTAAACCTAATTTCTCCCATACTAATTTCCCCCTACTGTTACTCACACCTTCTTGTCAACTGTTTGAAATGGGCCACTCTCATTACCGCTACAAAAGTTATTTTTCCTCCCTTGGTATCCTACTGTTAATTGAATTGTCTCGTTAGACTGACCTCACACTTGGTAAGGCAACTCCCATCTTTTCATGCATTTATACCTGCTCCTGTATTTTCCACTCCATGCATCTGATGAAGTGGGTTATATCCCACGAAAGCTTATGCCCAAATAAATTTGTTAGTCTCTAAGGTGCCACAAGAACTCCTCTTTGTTTTTTTTAATAAGAACTACAGTGTTCAATACCTTTGAAAATAAGTTCTTAACTGTTTTGAAATACCAAGAAATCTTTGTAACAAGCACGCAAATATGTTTCCCACTAAATTATGTTACCACACAATGCATATTTTACATACTTACAGAAAATAAAATTTAAAAATTTAAAAGCCAAATAATGATTTCAAAACAACTTCCAAAATGATTTTATGACCATTATCTTTTAGCTATTATCCTACAACTTATTATTTGCTGTGTCTGCACAATAGCACGGATTTATAAACATCTAAAACAAGTATAAAAATAATCCCAACACACTTTTCTTCTGATATCTATTTTAAGTTTTTCACTTTTAAGTGATATTCATTAAAGGATTAATAATCACAAACAAACCCATCTGCTGTGGTACCACTGCTCTCCACATTCGTTACAAATAACATAGGTCATCATTTGTTCATCTGGATTTGCATTTCGCACCCAACTAGGAAGGAAGAGAGTTCCCCTGGCAATCATAGTGACACTGCAATCAAATTTTTCACAGCGCCTACATTTTATTTTGTTGGTCTGTGTGCCATCAATAACTTGGGGAAGCTGATGTTCCTGAACAGATGATTCTGTGTACAAAGCCCTGAGTTGTTTCAGTTCATCATTGGCCATTTCCATCACTGTCATCTCAGCAAAAGTCTTTGGACTCATAGTCCCTGAAAATAGGTTATGTTTTAAGTGGAAATTTTTAGGATTCTTCAAGTTAGAGACTTTGCTTCTGATACAATTTTTGTACTTTTTGTCATTTCTAGCATGAAGAGCAAAAATATGCTCTTCAATTTCTTTGGATAATTCTTGCCGCTTATTGGCTTCCTCTTTGCTTGTGGCAGAATCAGTCAAGGCTTTATAAATAAGTTCTGTGCATTTCAACCTCATGGCTTTCACATGTTCTTGCTGTGGGCTTGTTTCACTGCCAGCAGGTTTAGTGTCTTCATTATCAGTGCACTGTTTTTCTAAAAGACCCAGATGATTCACACTGCTTTTTGGCTTATTATACACTTCATCTTTTGGAACGTTTTGTGATGTTAGCAAACTGTTAGAGCCAGCAGCATCTAACATTTCATGCTGATTCAATTTTTCTGAAAACTCAGTTTGTTCTTGTGGAGCCACACTGAAATATTCATTGTGCTCTTTCACACTCTCAGAAACGGACTTTTTACCTTGTATCGATGAAAGATAGTTATTCTTGTAAAGTGTCTTCCACTTTGATAATAAATGCTTTGCTTTCTTTTTCAATGTTATTGCAGGACAGTTCTGGAGGACTCTGTACACAGCTTTGGCAACATCAGTCTCCTGAAGATATTCTATAGTCATATCAACAGCTTCAAGTTCTGTAAGGTGATTTCCAATATCTTGGAAATTGTTTTCAGAGAGTAGCTTCTCAATATAATGGGCTCTGTTCATAATTATTTTCTTATCAGACATTTTTAAACCTGAAAGAAAAGTAATAATAATAGCTTTCTCTATGGTCACGATGATTATATCATATATTTTTATTAATGTTCTGCAAACTTTCACAAGCTTTGTTATTGTACAATTTAATTTATTCTTAAATGTGCAAAAAACCTCACTTGCGCCACAGATGTCCTTATTTGCATATACATTATAGAAGTAGACACTAAAATAAGCTGAATATGTAGCCAGTTACATGCTCAGTCAAAGTTTTGAGACAACAGAGGGGCTTTGCACTGTATCCTAAATGTTAATAGACTCTGGTTCTATTAGTCAATTGGGAAAAACAAGGTCCAAAGCTCAGTGTTCACTACTGAGAATGCCCAGCCACGAGTCCTTTGGTGTTTAAAATCTAGATACTGTTAGAACAGTGGTTCCCAAACTGGGGTTCGTGAACCCCTGGGGGTTCATGAAATGTTACAGGGGGTTCTCAGGAAAAAATTCCCTAATGGCGGACAGAACTGTCCCTAGGGATCTTGGGCAGCACAGGGCCAGCAGCCCAGAGCTCCTGGACTTCCAAGAGCTAAGCAGCTCAAAACAAGCCTATCTGTCACACTGAGGAGATTTAAACTTCAAGACTCCTTATAAGAAATGGAAAGGGAGGTGGATATTTTTTGATATTTTTAAAATTAAATAGGCAGCTAATATTGTTTTTAAAATTATTATGAAGAACAAGTTTAAGCTTTGTTGTAACATGCGTTGTTTGCCTGGACTGCTCAAGACCTGAATGCTTGTGTAGGAGGAACTCTTTGAGTTGGTTTCTTAAATACCTTCATGCTGTTTCACATCTGATACTCCTTGATGAAACATAGGAGCCTTGTCTTATAACAGGCTTATTCAAAGTGATACAAGCTACGAAAGTGAGATCTTGGAAGAGTGTTGCCATTTTCATAATGTAATAAAAAAACTGTAATGATAAATAATAATTAATAATGAATAATGTGTAATAAACAGTGTCTCATAAAAACAAATTTTATATTACCAAGATCACTGCTTTTATAATTTATATTCAGGTAAAGGAGAAAATCCCTGGAAATATTCATTTTTTAGGAGGGGGTTCACGACACTTGACATTTTAGCGAAAGGGGTTCACAGATTCTTAAAGTTTGGGAACCACTGTGTTAGAAAGAGGGCTCGGGCTGAGAAAATTGTTACAATGACACAAATTGAAAACTCTTTTTTCTCATGCAGCCAGGACACAAACTGTTTAGGGCTTTATATATCAAAGTCAACCACTTGAATTTCACCAAGAAGCAAATAGGAAGTCAATGCAGTCTTCAGAGAATTGGCGTATTATTATCCAGTTTATATGTTTTGTCACTGATTTTGTATGCCTCAACTTTTGGGTTCCTCATTTGAGACCTCTTGGACCTGTTTTTCATAACTGCTGAGCACTCAGTTCCAACTGAACTCAATGGAAGCTGCAGATCGTCAGCATATCTAGACAAACAAGTGGAAGATGGGCACCCAAAAGTGAATGACCATCTTAGAAGATTTTGATTTGTGGCTTATTTTTATTTGTTAAAATCAATCTTTGTCACCCCAGCCAGCCCTTTTCTTAGCACGAGTCTTCCATGAATGTTTACAAATTTGGCTTAATAAATGCCCAAATGTTTGGGTGTCTTAATATCTAATATAAAATCTTTTAACTAGCTTTAATAATTTTTATTGTAAAATAAAATATATCATCTTTCATATAATTTATCATAACAAATCACTTAATTAAATAGTTCCAGAATGTTGCCTTTTTGTTTATTGCATTTGTTTACCATGACAAAGCCATGATTTCCCCATTTCTGTTTGCCATTACATTATAACAAATCAGGTTCTGCATCTCACTTCCCTCTCCCTGCCCCCCCCCCCAAACAAAATAAAAAACCCAGGAGCCCATTTTTCTGTCAGTGGATGTCTAAATGTTATTGACATAAATGGGGATTACATATGCACATCCAGGAGAAACCATAAAATGTACAAAGGCTTTAGGAAACCTGTGCATTCACATTCTCCCTGTATGAAACTAGCTTGCAGTGCTTATATTAAAAATGTTTTGCGGCAGAAAACTGAAATACGCATTGATTGCTTCTTCATATTAAGCTTCTCTTAGGCCTTGACTATGCAGAAAGATAAAATCACGTGGCTAACATGTGTGCACTGTGTGACCAAATCACATTTGCCCTGGGAAAATGAATTAATCCAGTATATGATTCAGAATGGATTTTTCAGGCAGCTGTTGTGGATCCAACAATTTTAATTTATATATATATATAATTTTTGACATTTGGGTTTTTTTTGGGTAGCTGTTAATAGTAAACAGATGAACAAATTTAATTGGGAGCTGCTACGTTAAATCCTGGGAGGCTAATAAAGAGAAATGGGACCAGACCAGTAAACGCCCACTGAGGTCATCTCCTCTGCCCTTTCCCCTATTAGTTCCAACATTCTACATCCCATAGCAAGTAAATATTTTATTTTACAAAGGTAAAGTAGGTTTCAGAATAGCAACTCTTATATTAGAAACTGTTATCTGTTCTTTTTGCAAGCTCTTTAGGGCAAAGACCTTTTTGTGTATTTTTCATACAGTACCTGGGACACTGACTGTGCTATACAAATAATGTTTTCACAGCATATGCACAGTTATATGGCCTAATGAAAAAGTAAAGGGCATTCAGGATGTCGATTCTTGTGATTGGACTGTTTTTAGATTTTCCTTATGCCTTTCTCATTATGCCCATGACAAAAATCAAAGCCCTCGGGACAGAAACAATATACAAATTTGTACAAAAGACCAGCAGTCCTAATACTTTTCTCCATTATTCCACTTTGATAAGCATAAATTAAGACTGGATGAAGTGTTCACTGAAGTGAATACTTGGCCTTGTAAACCAGTGTGACTGTGTCACTGTTTTCAGGGCTTGTCCCAGTCAATTTTTTTTTTAAACCAGTAATAGTGTTTTGTCACAGTTTTTGTATATCCTTTCTGACTCTGACCAGCTAAAGAAGTCATCGGCCAGCTGAGAAGTTGAGACTGATAACAGGTTGGCTAAGTGCTCACATATTAAGGAATACAGCATCACCAGGCCTGTCACATGTGTCACACAGCTTTGCCTTAGTCATGAAGGTTCCAAGCAGAAGTCTGGGCAGTGCAGTGAATGATGAGCTGACAGGCAGATCACATGATCTGCGCAGCCATATGCAGGTAATTACTAAGCTTGCCTAGTATGATTCATGCGTCTGACCAGCTTCCTTGCACCACAGGTGAGCAGAGGATTAAGGTAGGGCCTCTGGAACTGGGGTAGAATAAAGGACTAAGAATAAAAGGGAGATAGGGCTGCTGGTGCGCTGAGACACCTGCCTACATGCTGACCAATACTGTCTCATTGCTTCCTTGTCCTCCCCTGTTTGTCTGTATCTATTTGTTGTCTCTTGTCTTGTACTTAGATTGTAAGCTCTTTGGGGCAGGGACCATTTTTTGTTCTGTCTTTGCACAGCACCTAACACAATGCGGTCCTAGTCCATGACTAAGGCTCCTAGGTGCTACAGTATTTCAAATACTACTACTAAAATGAATAATTATGGTAGAGAGAGTGAGGGGAAGGTTAAAAGGGGAGAAAACTGAAGGATGCTGAAAAAGAGGCGAAATGACCACAGGAAAAATGAGGAAAGAAAAGAATAGAAAACAAGAGCACAGAAAATATGAGGAAGAGGTGGAGTGGGCAGCACTTTTTGTCCTTTATCCCCCAGCTGCCAAAACCCTTGCTTCACACCTCCCTGACTGCCTCCAAAAACAATCCATAAACATTCTCAGACTGCCAGTCCCATGTTTTCACTTTGAAAATCTGCTCAGCATAACAGGCTGAATCCACTTTGAAGGCTCTTGTGATCTTAACTCATGACAATTTTCAAAGTCAGGGAAAACTGTTGGTACACATCCAGAATATACATCCACAGAAGAGTGGTTACAGACAGAAGTTAGAGAGGAGACAGCACAAGGGGGATGTTTACTGTATTGAATATACAGTTTTAAAAGTCCAATCACCCACAGGGAACTCGATGTAAGAAAGAAAGGGGGCTATCTAAGCTATCTATTTTTGCAGAATTTAAGATGTCACTAAACTAAATGTTTCAATACATTATGGATGCAAAGATACACTTTCTGCATGTGAACTTAATGTAAATCTTCCAAATGTGAACTGAATGGAAAGCAATGCAATGTTATCTTTTTGAATTTGCAGACATCAATGCCTACAGTGAAATTAATATCAATTATTTATTACAGGGTCTGCCATGTTTCCCTAAGTGTGAACCACAGCCCAGCCTGACCTTCTTCCAAGCTGATTGACACTCTCTACTGGCATCCTAACCTGCCTCCAAAATGTCAAGCATGAATGGGTTTAAAGAGCTTTGTAAATCTTGGATGATTGGTATTAAAAATGAAAAATGCTACTTAAGTACAGTTTTAAAATATTTAGAAAGAAGCGAGATTGACAGGATACATTTTTCAGTTACATCTGTTGAATTGTATGCATAACAACATCCTCAGTCTCATTGTTTAGTTTAGAAATATACACAGTCTAGTACAGGGGTCTCAAAGTCCCGGCCTGCAGGCCATCTGTGGCCCGAGAACCTCCCCACTGCGGCCCGTGGAAACTTTTTAAAAAGTTCTGTCATCCGGCCCTCATGGCTGCTGGCTGAGGGTGGTGGGGGAGGCAGGAGAGGAGCGTGCATGAGAGATTCACATGCCCCTTCCCCCAACGTTGCTCCATCCTGCTGCTTCTGGGACCCTCCCAGGGGTTGCACTCGGCAACGTGTCATCACCTCGGGCAGCTCAGCTCCCTGCAAGCGGTTCCCTATTCCTGCTGTTGCAGGCGGAGCTGCGGAGGAGAGACCTATGCAGCCAAACTGCCGGCTGTCTGCTGCAGGCACCGCCCCCTGCAGCTCCCCTTGGCTTGGGGAGAGGGACAGAGGTACCATAACTAGTTGCTGGGCAGAGTCAGCCATGGAGGCAGCATCATTAGTTGCCAGGCAGAGTCAGCCATGGAGGCAGTATCACTAGTCGCTGGGCAGAGTCAGCCAGGGCAGCATGAGGCCAAGAGAGCAAGAGAAAAGGGTGGAAAACAGGCTGGGAGGTGGTATGAACACCATCTTCAGTGACATTATTGGTCCGCAGGGAGGATTTGAGGACTGGCACTGGCCCTAAGGTAAATTGAGCTTCAAACCCCTGGTCTAGTACAATGAGAAGGTTTGTTTAATTCTGAAAAACTAAAGGGATGGAAAAAATAACAGTATTCATTTCCAAAAATATCCTACATCCTGAATAACGACAAATACAGATCCAATCCAGCAAGTACTAGATTGCCTAACTAAAAGTTACACAATGAGAAAGCAGATGTATAACTAATCCTTGATTAGTTTCCTGTCTTCCAAAGATCAAGTAGTTGGTGTTGAAATAGGAAGAAAATCTGCTGGTTGTTATGGTTGGTCATGAGACACAGGGTGAAATTAGCTACAGTGTCATGCATAGGCGTGCACACAGGGTGTGCTGGGTGTGCCCAGGCACACGCTAATGCAGGGGTGGGCAAATGGCTCCACTCTCCCAGCACGGCAAGCCACAGGGTCCGCGCTCCCAGGCCGGAGCGCCTGGCCAAACGCAGCAAGCCGCCGGTCCCTCCCCCGCCTTCCCCCGGAGCCCTGCCACCGCGCGCAGCGCTCTGGGGGCCGGGGCTGCGCGCTCCCGTGGGGCAGCGTTTGGCTCCGCGGTGAGGCAGCGCTCTGGGGGCCGGGGCTGCGCAGGGAGTCAGACACGCTCCCCCCTCCCCTGGAGCCGTGCTGCCGTGCGCAGCGCTCTGGGGGCTGGGGGCTCAGCGGGGAGTCAGACACGCTCCCCCCTCCCCATGAACCATGCCGCCGTGCGCGCAACGCTTTGGGGGCCGGGGCTGTGCACTCCCGCGGGGCAGTGTTTGGCTCCAAGGGGAGGCTAGGAGCCTCATCTCATGGTAAGGGGTCCGGGGCCAGGGGGGGTTGGATAAGGGGTGGGGGCAATCAGGGGACAGGGTGGGTTGGATGGGGCATGGGAGTCCCGGGGTCTCTCAGGGGGCGGGGGGGTGGATAGGAGTCAGGGCAGTCAGGGGACAGAGAGCAAGGAGGGTCCTGGGGGGGCAGTTAGTGGGGGGGTCCTCTGGAGGGGGTGGTCAGGGGACAAGGAACTGGGGGTGGGTTGGATGAGTCAGGAGTTCTGGGGGGGCGCTGTCAGGAGGCAGGGGTGTGGAGAGGGGTTGGGGGAGGCAAGGGGGGGGGATTGTATGGGTTGGGAGTTCAGGGGGTCCTGTCAGGGGGTGGGGAGCAGTTGGATAGGCGTGGGAGCCCAGAGGTCTGTCTGGGGGTGGGAGTGTAGATAAGGGTCGGGGCAGTCAGGGGACAGGTAGGGGGTAGGGTCCTAGGGGGGCAGTCAGGGGACAAGAAGCAGGGAGGCTTAGGTAGGGGGTGGAGTCCTGGGGGGCAGTTAGGGGCAGGGGTCCCAGGAGGGGGTAGTCAACTCAGGGGTCAAGGAGCAAGGGGGGTTGGGGGTTCTGAGGGGGGAAGTCAGGGGGCGGGAAGTAGGAGGGAGTGGATGGGGGCGGGACTAGGGCAGGGCTCCCTGGGTGCACACCCTAATGAAATGGGCTGCGCACGCCTATGGTGTCATGTGCTCATCCAGTATGCATTATACTGCACTTCGGGATAAGGCACTGGTTTGGCTAATACCCTCACCTCCAAACGAGATCTTTTCCAGCCCTTTTACAATGGTTACAAATGTGTGTGCACTGTTCCATGCCACATAAATTCTATATCCATACCTTTTTTACACACACATGCAGTGGTTAAGTTACTTATGAGTTTTCTGAATCTCCCAAGCATGCATTAACTTTTTCAGGACTTGGCTCTAAATTACTAAAACCACACACGATTTAAACAACAGATACAGCCTATGTATGAATTAATATGCCATAACAAAAGATTAAATATGGACTACAAGTAAAATAAGTGTGTTGAACAACTAAATGAGCATTTATTATAATCTTAGAAAATTTACAGCTCAAGAGATAGGCTACTTACACTTAAAGCAAAATAGATGTGTTTACAGGAATTCTTTCCTCAGAGGTTGATGTATGCATTCAATGAATAGTAAAGACTCCAAACTGAGCAGTTCACACAGGATCTATGCACCAAAGCTAGATAAGAAAAACCACAACAGTTACAGCAGTTATCAAAATATGTGCACAAAGATGTTAATAGACCCTATCATGGCCCCAGAAGAATTAATGTCTAAAGTTGCTCTGTCATCATCAGCAAACAATTTATCTGGGCTCTTAATCAAGTTATTAAAGATTAGGGTGACCAGACAGTAAATGTGAAAAATCGGGACCTTGGGTGGTGGTGGTGTGTGGGGGGGGTAATAGAAGCCTATATAAGAAAAAGACCCAAAAATCAGGACTGTCCCTATAAAATTGGGACATCTGGTCACCCTAATTAAGATATATTTAGGGCCCTACCAAATTCATGGTCCTTTTTTGTCAATTTCAGGGTCACAGAATTTTAAAAATTGTAAATTTCATGATTTCAGCTATTTAAATCTGAAATTTCATGGTGTTGTAATTGTAGGGATCTTAAACCAAAAAGGAGGTGTGGGGGGGGAAGGGGGGGGTCGCAAGGTTATTGTAGGGGGGTTGTGGTACCGCTACCCTTACTTCTGCACTGCTGCTGGTGCTGACTTCAGAACTGGGCAGCCGGAGATCGGTGGCTGCTGGCCGGGAGCCCAGCTCTGAAGGCAGAGCTGCCACCAGCAGCAGCACAGAAGAAAGGATGGCATGGTATGGTATTGCCACCCTTACTTCTGTCCTGCTGCTGGCGGGGCACCATCTTCAAAGCTGTGCACCTGGCCAACAGTCGTCGCTCTCTGGCCACCCAACTCTGAAGGCAGCGCAGAAGTAAGGGTGGCAATACTGCGACCTTCCTAAAATAATCTTGCAACCCTCCCCTTCCCCCCCCGCAACCCTCTTTTGGGTCAGGACCCCCAGCTTGAGAAACGCTGGTCTCCTCCATAAAATCTGTATAGTATAGGGTAAAAGTACACAAAAGACCAGATTTCACAGTCCGTGATGCGTTTTTCATGGCCGTGAATTTGGTAGGGCCCTAGATATATTCCAGCAAAAAATCCCTAAAATGAAAACAGCCACTTTGTGTAAATGACAAGGACAATCAGTGTATATCACTCACTCTCTCTCACACTCACACACACACACACACACAAAGACACCTTTAGTCATTTTGATTGTTAATTTCTTATACCACTATGTCTGGTTTGCCAATTAAACTAATGTTGTTAAAGGCCAACTGTTTTTGGTTTAACATGCTGTACACTGAGTTTTGGTAAATTTTAAAATGTTCACCACTCAGAATTAAACAATGTTTTAAATTACATCTGCAAGTAAACAGTAATATCCTACCACTATAGACATTTATGACAAAATATTTTTAAAAGACCAAAAGCTCCCCAAAATCAGAAAATCAATGGGAGATATCAAAACAATAACCCCAAAATGCTCGACCATGCACAGTATCAGCCTTATTGTGTCCCTTCCACTCAAAAAAAGAGAGGGGCCCTACAGCATGTCCTGAAGGTCAACAAAACTGGGTGTTTCAGGCCAACAAGGTGGAATGAATTCCAAAGTTCGCTTTCACTTTGGTTGTTACAGGTCATCTGTAAACCATGGTGACCTGTGAGAACGAAGATGGGGAAGAGAAAGCCTAGGGACTATTTTATCAGTAATTAGGACAGAAGACAGGATAAAGTCCTATCCTCACATTAACAGAGTTAGCTGATGAAGTAGCAATATACTCCCTCAGAGCCCTCTAGAAACAGTGGTTATGCTGGCCTCCAAGAGTGAATGTCTAAACCAATCTCCCACTCAAAAGAAGTGCACCCCCACCTTGGATCATAGGAGGTAATGAGTGGTCTATGATGTAGGTATATTTCTAAATGCCCTATCTTCCATCCCAGCACAAACAAAAGATCAAGCATGATGAAGACCATGAAACCTTGAGCTGTTCCAGAAGAATTGTGTATTTTTTTCATATAAAAACTTAAAAATGGGTGTGTTGTCGTTCAAAGTCATTAGGGGTCCACAGCACTTTTAAAAACAGTGGGGGTTTACTGTAGTATTTTGACCAAATTCACTTCCCAGCCATTAGCATGCAGAGATGTGCATATCTGCTGCTCTCTGTCCCAGAGTTGGAAGCATTTCAGCAGTGCTGTATGTATGTATTTAGTTTGTGACGGGCTTTAAGATCCTTCAGGATTAAAAGTAATATACACATATAAAATACAAAAATCTTACTCTAATTTTTGAGCCAGTGTTTTATTAAAAGGCAACGTGAAAAGAACATGAGTGGCATTAGCACAATTACTGCTCTATAAACCAAGCCAAGACTCTGGAGTTCAAACTCTGGGGTGGATAGAAGAGAGTTATAACGTTAAATCCTTTGTCCCAGCTCACACAATAGCAAACACAGAGCTGTGTGCTAACCAATGTAAGACACATTCATGGTAGCTATAAAACTCTACAAGTTACTGGAGGTTTTGTCCAAAAAGGTTATTTTTGTGTATTTGGAGGGGTGGGAGGTAGAGTTGTTCTTCAAAAGAAGAGTCAGGGGATTCTGCCCCTGAACCTTCCAATCTTGGAATACCCAGAGTCTAAGGCAGTGGTCACCAACCGGTTGATCGCGATCAACTGGTCGAACCTGGAGGATCTCCCAGTCAATCGCGATCTCCAGCTGTGCAGTGGGGCTACTGCTAAGACAGGCTCCCTGCCTGTCCTGGCCCTACGCCGCTCCTGGAAGTGGCCAGCACAGCCCCGTGGGTGGGGGGGCAGGGGTCTTCCTCCACACGCTGCTCCTGCCTGTAAGCACCACCCCCACAGCTCCTATTGACCGGGAATGGGAAGCTGTGGCCAATGGCAGCTGCGGGGATGGTGCTTGCAGAGAGGGGCAGCATGCGGAGCCATACGTCGCCCGCTCCCTGCCCAGGGACTGCAGGGGCACGTTGGCGCTTTCCAGGAGTGGCGTGGGGCCGAGGTAGGCAGGGAGCCTGCTTTATTGGCAGCCACGCTGCGCTGTCGACCAAGAGTCTGATTTGTCTTGAGTACCCCATGTTTCACTTCACTTACAAACTACTTGCTTACAAAATCAGACATAAAAATATAAAAGTGTCACAGCAGACTATTACTGAAAAACTGCTTACTTTCTCATTTTTACCATATAATTATAAAATAAATCAATTGGAATATAAATATTGTACTTACATTTCAGTGTATAGTATAAAGAGCAGTATAAACAAGTCATTGTCTGTATGAAATTTTAGTTTGTACTGACTTTGCTAGTGCTTTTTACATAGCCTGTTGTAAAACTAGGCAAATATCTAGATGAGTTGATGTACTTCCTGAAAGACCTCTGCATGCCCCCTGTGGTACGCATACCTCTGGTTGAGAACCACTGCTTTACAGAATGCGATCAGCAATTTTAAAATGCAGGATTTAATTTTTTTTTACCACCAGAGGGGGCTGTAGTACAATTAACCCAAGACATCTTGATTTTTTTCCCCCCCTTAAGTGTACACTGTATTTACTATGGGTGCATTCCATGACATAGAGTGTACTCACTCTGGATTATTATAACTGTACCAGCACACAATATTACTGCTTTTTTCCTTTGGTGGGTCTCTACCTTAAACGGTCAGTTTTTTAAAAGCCCAAGCAACAGATGAGCCAAACAAAATCATAGTCCCTAAAGTGTGCAGAGGATGCATGGCTTAATTCAGCATAATTTTGTAATACTGACATTATTCTGCTGCATGTAAAAGAAGAAAAGTAGCAGAATCCACTGTTTGCTGTTGATTGTCTGTTTTGAAATTTTAAGTATAGTTAAAAACACCAACAAACAAACAGTCTTTCAGGAAAAAAACGTAGTAATCATTACAGAAGCTACAGTGAAACTAGACAACATTTCAATCCATTTATTCAAGTACTTATAATTCTATTTTCAGGTCAGGGAAAACAATGGTAAATTTGGAGCAAAGAAAGTCAGGCTGTATGCACAGCATTTTAATGTCAACTTTTGTTAGACAAGAGGCAGCATGATCTAATGGACTGAGAACATTTAGGCCTGGAGGAGTACTCCAACCTGAATGAGCCACACCTTAAATGGTGAGCGGGTAGCTTCTAGCACTTATGATTATGAAGGTTACCTTCCAATCCTGAACAGAGTGTAAACTGATATAATACTGCCTTCTTAGGTCTGCAGGCAAACAGCTCCAATGCCTCTGCTGCAGCAATGTGTGCAGTAGTCAGTGTCATGTCAGTCTTCACTGCTACTATTCAGAATTTTCTGGGAAGCACAAAACTAGGGTTACCATACGTCCGGATTTTCCCGGATATGTCCGGATTTTTGGGATTCAAATCCCCGTCCGGGGGGAAATCCCAAAAAGCCGAACATGTCCGGGAAAATCCAGCGCCGCTGGGCCGGGGGCCGGGCC